CCCCCACGCAGGTCTTTGTTGGGCCCCGCCGGCACCTCCATTTTAATAAAAAGAGACAGTGGCTCCTACTTCATTAAACTAGAAAAAAGAGGGGTACAAGAGAAGGGAGCATACAAGTCCCTTCCCAAAAAACTATTAACCAGAAAAAACTCTAAGGAAAGGAAGAGCAACAGTGTCTCCTTTCAACAATAACTCTCCCTGGGGGGTAGTAGAATTGCCTACCCCATGGATCTCAGAATGAAGTCCTACCTTGGCTAGCCAATTTGCTGGCCTATTGCCTTCTCTCAATATATGTGAGTAAGAGGATCTAAGGCCCTTTCCCAAGGAGTGAATCATTCCAATCCACTGCATCAGATACCAAGGAGTAAGTAACCTCCCTTCAATAATATCAATAAGAACCCTGGATTCAGATTCTAATATAATTGAGGTGAAGCTACACTTTTGAGCCATTAACATAGCCCAATAAATAGCCACAGTTTTTGCCTCCAGAGGGTCCTTAGCAATGGCAGGAGAATGAAAGTAGAGTAAACACTTGCCATTACTGTTTCTGTACACCCCTCCAATACCAGTATTAGAATTAGAAAAACTACCATCTGTGTTAACTTTAATTTCCCCCTTAGGTGGAGGAGTCCACTGGATGAGTGCATACTTGATTATTCTGGGGAGACAATGAGATGTACTGTGAAGTATATCAGGAAGCTTCCCATGACAATATAATTTCTGCAAATAGCTGAGGCAGTTGGTGGCTATTGTAGCAACTCTAACCCAGATATCTTCATGTTTAATCTTGTTCCTAGCCATCCATATAAACCAAGCAGTGATACAAGGAATTGGGGGTAATTCTTGATCTTGCCAATCCTTCCAGCTGAGGGAGAGATCATTCCAGGACAAAAGAACAGTTTCTAACTTCAGTTTGGGAATTAAACAGTTCCAAACCTGTTTAACTGTGGAACATTGGAAAAATAAGTGCTTTATAGTTTCCTCATGGGAGTTACATAACCCACATCTAGAGGGACCTCTCAAGCCTTTTAACTTCAGTATATCATCTGTGGGTAGAAATCCATGGCGTAATCTCCAAGAGAAAAATGACATTGAAGGGAATAGGTATTTATTCCACACACATTTACTCCAGCTGACTCTGTGTTGAGGAAAAAACAAGTTATCAATGGCTGCAGATAAAGACTGGGACACCTTCTTTTTTACAATCAGGATATCTTTACTATCTCTATCAATGTTGCTTTTCATAACCTTTTGTAAAGTTGAATTATCCAGTATATTCTGTAAAGCTTGCTGGTTCCACTCCCCATTGAGCCATAGATCATCCACCTGAGTTGTAGGATTTAATTGAGGGTTAGATGAAGTGTTGATTAAGCCCTCACCAGTCCAATTATCCAACCAGATATTAAGCTTGCCCTCTCCAATTTTCCAGATGAAAAGATTTTCAGCCTGAGCTCTGACTTTTAGCATATTGGTCCAGGTCCTGGAATCCCCAAGTCTTTTAGTAACAAGGGAGGGATGCAACTCTCTACAGTATTTGCCCTTCAAAAATTTAGCCCAAAGAGAACTCTGAGCTCTGAACATCAACCAAAGCTTACAAAAATTAATTTGAGAGATCTGAATGAGGCTTTTGAAGTCCAGCCCACCAGCACTAGTACTTCCACACAGCTTTTGCCAACTGGTCCAATGCATTTGCTTCCTCTGACCTGCCCACAAAAAACTATTAAACATTTTCTCCAAAGTTAACTGTGTTGACTTTTTCATAATAGAAACCTGGGAGATATAGGATGGAAGAGCTGTCAATACACTTTTTAGAAGAGTAACTCTACCCTCATTTAAAAGGAATGAATTTGCCCAGCAGTTAAGTTTGTCCTGAATTTTGGTGATACAGTCATCAAATTGAACTTGTCTTGTTTTCCCCTTCACAAGCAAAGTACCTATGTATTTTAATGGAAAAGAGCTGGTCTTGAAGCCACCAAGTTCAGTAGTCCAATGCTTAATTTGAGGTTTAACTATTTTGCTAAACACCAAAAGACATTTCTTAGTATGGAAATGCATACCATAACATTGTTGAAATTTCTCCAGACATTGAAGGACCATTTTAACAGCTGGTTTGGTTGCTTTGGCAAAGATAATAACATCATCAGCAAATGCTAAATGATTCAAAACAATATTAGATCTATGACTGTACAGTGTATGAGGGGATGAAACCATGAGCTGATTCAACAATTTAGAGAAGTAATCAAACGCAATGATGAATATAGTTGGAGATAGTGGATCACCTTGCTTAAATCCTCTAGATGAGTTGAAAAAACCATGAGATTTACCATTAATAAACACAGATTGAGAGTTGTTTCGAAGCCATCTATGTATCAACAAGATAAATTGTTCATTAAAACCCTTAGCATACAGCACTTCCTCAATGAACTCCCAGTTGATGGTGTCATAAGCCTTCCTAATATCTAATTTCATTATTAGGTTCCCCCCTCTGCATTGCTTATCCAGATCCAACACCATTTCTTGGGCTAGCAGAACATTCTCTACAATACTTCTTCCTTTGATGAAAGCTGACTGGGTCTCACAAATAAGCTTGGGAAGTATGGGTTGGAGTCAGTTGGAGATCACTTTGCTAATCATTTTGGATATCACATTATTGAGGTTTATGGGCCTGAAATGATCCCAAGAGATTGCAAAAGAAGATTTGGGAATAAGAGTTATGTTGGAGCATTTAAAATAGTTGGGGAGATCCAAACCTTTGAAGAAACCTTGGACAGCTTGTACAATATCATCTTTAATGATCTTCCATGATTTCTTGTAAAAATCTGCAGAAAATCCATCAGGTCCAGGAACTTTGGAGCTATCAATGGAAGCCAGAGCAGACCAAATTTCCTCTTCCCCAGAAATAGAAGTCAGATCCAGTCCCCTCATGAAGTTCTCATCCCTGCAAAACAAATCCTGCTGGATGGGGGGCCTAAGATCAGATGGTTGTTTAAAGAGTGTTCGGTAATAGTTAATAGCACTAGCAGCAATCAAGTCTTCAGCATGGAGCCACTTGCCATCATTCTCCTTAATCTTATTTATTGTGTTGCACTTTCTTCTAAACTTGATACATGCATGAAAGTATTTTGAATTTCTATCCCCTTCACAAAATCTGGTCTTAGCAGCCTTTTGGGCAAAGAAATCCTCCTGCATACAGATGGCATTCATCAAATTTTCATTATCAATCAATAAATCCTTCTCCACCTCAGGGTTACTCTCTAATTTAGCCTCCAACTTAGCAACAGTCTTTTCAGCCTCCACAACATTTAAGTTGATATCACCCACTGTTTTCCAATTCCAGTTAGATAAATGTCTACCTAACTTCTTTTACAGTTGCCATAACTTAATCAGAGGGTTGGGATGGTGACAATACCTCCAAACCAATGAGACCTGATTTAGGAAGTCTTGGTGGGAGGACCACATATTGAGGTATCTAAAACTTGGCTTGTGCTTAACATTTGATGCTGAAATATTCATAAGTAGTGGTCTATGATTTGATCCCATCATGCTGAGATGTTGCACAGAAGTGTTAATGAACTCACTAAACCACATGAAATTCACTATCAAGCTTGTATAATTCACAAAAACCTCAGCCCCTAAATCCTGAATAGTATTCCCCACCATATTGTTCCAGTCAATGTTTAGAACTTCATTGGTTTTCTGGTTGCAACCAGAAAGATCAGCTTCTGAAATATCATATGCCTTGGCATTAACATCCTGCAGGTCGAGCAGGTCATCATTCACATCTTGGGCAGGGATGATACCCTAAAGGCCATCATCCTCACTACCCTTGGTTATCTCCTGATTCAATGGATTATAAAAATCCTCTTTTCTCAACAGCCCCACATCAACAGGTAATTGATCAGCCTCCTTAGAAGAGGTCCCCCCAGCAGTTCTTCTGAGTTCTTCTGAGATGGGGATGGCTGATGTCTTTTGTAGCATCTGTTATCAGTGTGCCCAAACATGCTACAATGGAAAAAGTAGTATGGCTTCTGTTCAGCAACAATCCTTTGCCAATAGCCATTGTGCTCAGTCCCCAACCATATTTCCTCCACAATAGGAAGGGTGATATCCCTTTCTACTAAAATTTTGGCTACTGAAGGTCTAGAAAGGTTGTAAGTAGGGACATCCAACTTCAAAGGTTTCCCGAGAGCTTGACGAATATTGAACAGAACGTTATGATTAAAGAAATGAAGCTTCAACCCAGGAAGTTTAAACCGAATAGGAACTACAGGCAGCTCCTTGCTTGGGTCAAACGCAGTGGACCATTTTAAGATCTTCATAGTAATACCATCAATCTGTAAAATCTGTTTTGAGAAAACTCTAGCATAATCATCTTATCTTGACAATTTAATAAGTACGTGCCTGCCATCAATGAGACCCACCCTCCAAGCACCTTTGAGTTTAATGCCATCAAAGAATTTTCTAATGGCTTCCATGGCTTGGTGTCCCATCTGAAACTTACCAATGAGAGAAAATTTACAAACCTCAGTCAGTTTTCCTGAGAAAATTTACGAACCTCAATCAGTTTTTGTATCTCTGAATCATTATAAGCCATAGCCACCTTCCCATTTTTCCTACTCAGAGGTTTAATAAAAGAGCCAGCCGCCTCATGGTAGCTCTGGGGGAAAACAAGGTCATTAAAATCCTTAACCGTATCCACTCCTTTACCTACCACATCAGCAAACGTGGCCTTAGTCCATTGAACATTGGTGGACAAATCCATATTGTTAAGCTCAGCCATAGCCAAAACAAAATCAATAAAATAGTAACCGATTCAAATAAAGTTTTCCCGATAAGCACAAAACCAGAAAACCTCACCAAGAAAAACACTCAGAAGAAAGAGAAGCCACTAGAGGAAGAGAAGGAACCAGTAAGCAACCAAAAAATCAGGAACTCCATGGAAACCCTAGCAGAGTACCCACAAAGTCAGCCGCCACTCCAAGCTCCATTTTTATTAACTCATTTACTACATAAAAATATGACTTATAGTAAAGAGTGAAGCTTCTAGATTTCCATAATTTGGTCTACTAAATATCATAGCATAACTTAAGAAAAATTTAAAATAGCTCAAGTTAAAACTAAAGGTATAAGAATATCTAGCAGTCAAGTCTAAGATTTCTGATACTCTATTCTTTTTAAAATTGAAAATTGTCATGTTAAAGCCACTTAGAATATCCATATGAAAAAACTTCATGAAAACCTTACTAGTAAATATGCTAATGCTTAAATACAAGTTTAGAGAATGTAGCTAAGCCTTCTTCCTTAAATTGATTCAAGTGAAGCCAATTTTTGAATCAACATCACCTCAAGCTTCTCCTCACATATTTTTCTTTTCTTTTCTCTCTCCTTTTTTTTTCTTTTGCTTTTTGCTTTTCTTTTCTTTCTTTTTCATTTTCATGTAAGGATTACTATATCCGGATAGCCTTTAATAAGTTTGAACTTTACTATCCTCTTCTTAAAGTTAAAAAAGCTTTTCACATTTCTTCACTTTATAAATTTATCTTGGCTTTGAAGATTTTCTTATAAAATTTCAATCCCTTGTTTTTACATCAAACACTAAGATTCTCAATACTTCAAAAATATAAATTCTTTTACTTAAAATAGAAAAAACATAGTCTTAAATTCTCATATTAAAAACCTTAATTTCTAGAATTAACCTTTATCATTGAAATTTTTTACTTAAGCTTACTATATATTTAGAAACACAAATATAGTTATCTAAAGTTGGGCTCTACTACCACATGTCATGCTAAATTAAGTAAAATTAAAATATAGCTAATTGAGGAAAAATAAAATTAAGTTTCTTTCTTTATAAAAGAATTTTTCTTCCCCCCCAAACTTAAAGTTTTTTAAAAGATTAAGCATGAAAGACTGAAGAATAAAAGGTGAAAGAAAATAGTTATTACATAAAGAAAAGAATTACCTATTGAAGCTTCTATTTTTGAAACTTAACTCTGAAATATTGAAAGTGCTAGTATGAAAAGCTACAAAACTTAAAATATTAAATAACACATAATATATTAACAAAATATTTGTTGATAAAGAGTCAACTAAAAATAAATACAACAAAGTACTAAAAGCAAACAATAGTACTAAAATAAAATTCAATTAAAAAATAGCTCTATAGACTATAGTTCACAACACAAGATTCAATATAAATCAAAGTATCACACTCTACAAACTAAACAATAACAATAAGAAAGTGCAACAAACTATAAACTAAATAAAATATTAGAACTATGAATAGGCACACATCTTCCCTCATCCTCTTCTTCATCATCATCTTCTTCTTCTATATCAAATTTCTGCTATTGATAAGGGGTAAGAAAAGGGTGACTAGGAAACTGTACTGAGTGGTCACCCCTCATGTATCTAACCATAGCATCATCATATGCAACATCATTATCAAACTTTTGTTTTGTTAAATTATCATTATGTGCATTCCTGGCCTCCAAATTTTTAATCATATTCTCTATCCTTAAGATATCTCCTTGTTGGATCATCATTTGTTCCATAAGTCCATGGAGAGTAGGGGTACTAGAAGTAGAAGGAATATCTCTACTCTTAGTTCTCGTTCTCCATCCAACATGTGATTCATAGGTTTTAATATTTGCTATCCCAATAGGTTTAATAGGCTCAATCCTTTCCTCATAAATTCTAAAATCAACTCTTGATTGCTCACATAATGTGAAAATCAGGACAGAGTGTCCTAATCCACCAGTCGTATAACCTAAAGTAATAGAATGAATGTTCTTATAAATTATGAAGCCAACATCTAGACTGCCCATCTGTTGGATGCAGAAGTTCAGGATGACTCTATCCTTAGTAACTTCGCTATGGAGGTTTGTAGGTATCATTCTGGCAAATATAAAGTAATGTTAGGCTGTGCATACTACATTTAACATAGAAGCAAGTAAGTTTACCTTAACTTTATTCTTCACCTTCCAAGCTCCTCTTCTATCAGTAAGAAATGAAATAACTTTATCTAGAGCCTCATTCGTAGCAGAGAATACATTGTACTCACATTGAAATGCTCCTCGCAACTGATAAAGTTCATTAATCCTCCTCAGGTGAACTCAACCATTTTTGTACGAACATAGACATGGTCATCTGAAGTTTCTTTAAAATTGGCATAAAACTCTGTGACTATACCAATAACAGCGTCGACAGTAAAGTAACAGAAATTCTCCCACTGCCGAGCAATAATCAATCTCTCGACTTCACCACCAAAATTTTTAAACGCTCGATCTGAAATTATTTTCTTTATATTCAGTATACTATTGAAATGAATGCTAGCTCTGAAGTTGATGAATCTTTGGTCATCATATTCCAAGTTCCCCTTTCCTTTGCTCGCCCTTGGTGCCATTGCAATCTTCAGAAGAAAAAAAATGTAAAAATCCAAATAAATTCCAAAAATTTAAAATCACAATGTGGAACGTTCTAAACTTAAACTCACTAAGTAAGAGTTCTTCACCAAAGGATTTTCTCAAAATCTTCTTAAGAAAAGTTTTAAAATTTTGGATCTCAGTAATGTAGGAGAAATACTTGGTGGAAATAAAAAATTATTAGTTAAAATAGTAGCTCTTATCGAGAGAAGATGAAATCTAAACTTCTTTTACTTCTGATCTCTTTAAATCAACGTGTTTGCAAGCCCTTGATGCATAAAAAATATATGCATTTTTAGACCAAAGGGGCTAGGGGCTTCACTATTTGGTTCAATAGAGGAACCCAGGAAATCCCCCAAAAATGCTCGG